ATAGGTCCCATGGTTTCCCTTATTTGCAATAACTAGTAAATGCCTGAGACAAGCAGAAAAGGTCAGATAAGATGATATTAGGTGAAATGAACCCCAAGATAAAGACACAAGTGTTTTTTTCTTTCTTGCTATTGTTTCGAACATATTTATAAGGTGAATGTTTTGTTGCTTTTTATGTCCCTCCCCCATGGAATAACTCCTGTTTTCACTGTATTTGATGTTGGTATAATTTGGGGAGGGGAAGGGAAAAAACAAATTGTTTAAATAGGGATACAGATAGACTCATTGCAACAATGAGATGTACAAAATGCTACGTTGAAAAACGAACTTTACAACTTTGGCGGGATGGGGGAGTGGAGGGGAGTGTAGTCATGGAGATGGGAGGGTAGGGATGGTAGGGGAAAAACAAAGGAGGAGGCAACAATGCTTGATAAGAAATGTACTAATTACCTTGCTCATGTAATTGTAACCTCTCTGTATGGTATTTTCACAATAAAAAACTTATTAATAAAAAATGCTACCCCTGCTCTCCAAGGACTTTAAAATTAATTTTAGAATTTTTTCCGGAAAGCTTTAGAGAAAGTTTTCCAAATGAGTCTGGATACCTTAATAAAGATAGTTCTGTGAGCTGAATTGCCTAGCATAGAAAAGAGAAAACTATTTTCTTTTCTAGCAGAGAGATATTTAATACAGCAGAGAGATATTAATTCCTTATGAAGGTGTTGGAAGGGATTAAAAAAAACAAGATTGATAAGATGGAAATGGTACTCAGAATTTTGAGATATTGCTAATAATATCCTTTCTTAGCTGAGTTTTGGAAGTATCCCAGAAATTGCTGGAACTTATACCTGTTACTGATGCTTTGCTTGAGCTGTCTGGAAACATAATAGTTTTTTCTTCTTATTGCCTTTAAATTTTCTCTCTTTGCCTCTCATTGACAGAACTCAAAATTAACCCATTACTCCAGCAGTCTCAGTAATATAGTTTGTACCTGTATGCCCTCAATACAGAGGAGTATATCAGTATAAAATGAAGGAAGGTAGGAAATCCAACAATCAAATATCCAGCAAAGAAGGAGGGGCTGTGATATCACCACTGCCATCATCATTTACCCTAAATGGTTAGATTCAGGAATTAATATGCTCAAGTGCTTGAAATCTGGCTGTTAGAGAATGAATGGTGCTTGCCTATCCATTTTTATGTTGACATCCTAACTATTAATGAAACTGAATTTGGGCAATTAAGGAGGTAGTTTAGTTAAGTTAGTCTGAAAGACCATAAAGGTGGACCTCTAACCTTATAGAACAGATGTCCTCTTAAAGATTTCCTACAAGAAGATGAAGGTCTATGCACTGTGATAAAGCTGTATGAGAACACAGCTAACATGCAGCCATCTACAAGCCAATGAGAGAAGCCTCAGAAGAAACCAATTCTGCTAGCCCCTTGACCTTAAACTTACAGCCTCCAGGACAACGAGAAAATAAATGTCTTGTTTCATCTACTCAGTTTGTATTATTCTTTTATTGAGGTCCAAGATGACCATTTTACTAGCAACATACATAAATTATAAATATTAAGAGTTAGAAACTAAATTTCAAGTTTGTATTAAAAATATGATTTTGTAAAATGTTATTACCTAATTACATTTCCTAGTAAGCAAGGGGAAAAATTGGCAGGTTTTTGGTTACAGTTGTTTCAGGACAAGTTGAATTAGTTGGATGGTAGAAATGGCCAATCATTTTCCCTATTAGATCTTCAGTCTCTACTGTGTACAGAGAGAAGACTGAACATTGGCCTTCCTGATTTTTCCTTTGTTGGCCATGCCCGACTTCCAGTAGTCCTATCCCCATTACTATTTTATTTCTTTGAGATGGCCCCACTTTGACCCACTTGGATAACTTTACTCTGATCTTTCCCATGATTGATCTTTATCGTGTTTAGCTCACATTCATGGGGTGGATGTGATATATACACAGAAGCTGGTGATTGGCCAGGACATATATCTGTAGATGTACTGCTTACTATAATGATGTGTTCTAATTGGACAATACCTTTATACTTGATCAATGACTGTGTAACATTGTTGCTAAATCATTTGAGTATCACCTATGCTTCTATTATTGACACCATAAACTATGAAAAGAAATTGACTTCGTAGTTGAATCAACTTTCCACACAGGAAGATCAGGCTATTTGAAACTATCCTAAAGACCTCCATTTTCCAAAGTAAGAGCTTTTTTTTTTAGCTTATGATGGGATACAAACCTGCACACCTAGAATCTGTCCTAATGAGTTTGACTGTGTTTATTAGAGGGATGATCAATATGCCTAATATTTAAATTTTAATCTACTTTGTGCTAATCGCTGGCAAAACTCTTTAAGTGTATCTTACAATTTGTCATCACAATAAAGCTAGTATGATGAAGATCTTATTATCAATGACATCTTATAGATGATTCAATTACAGATTAAAAAGGTTAAATTGTTTAATATACCATCTAGTAAGGAGAAATGTAAGAACTGAAACTCTAATATTAAACTATGTGTTTAGAATAGAGGTTCTAATTGTTGCCTGTCACCAACCATTTTTCTCACATATGATCTTGCCAAGGTTTTTTCATTTCTAAGAATCGGTCCTTTAGTAGCCTAAAGCTCCTTTTTAGATACGTTCCCTGTCCTTGAGATAATATTTACCTATTTTTTACATTGATAATGCCTGCCCTACCATTTTATCCAAAGTGCTTTCTTGTCTATATACTTGACTCTCTGCGCTACCCTAGAAAGCTTTATGCCTCCATCCAGTCACCTATCACCATTCCTCATGTATTACTTATGTATTGCTATACAGCCCACTAGAACAGAAGTTCTCATGAAAACTGAGACCTAGTGTTTTTGCTATATGGCTGTCTCCAACATATAGGGATTGGGCGTTCCATACAGTAGTTAATATGTATATGTTCAATATCAGAAGAAAATCTAATGGGATCTCTCAGAATTGTGCTCATTGAGATCACAATTTAAGAAAGAATGTTCTTGGTCCAGGGAAAATTTCAGCCAGAACATCCTCTCTAATTGCATTCGTCCTTACAGAGGATGTTCTGAGATACCAATGAATATAGTCAACAAAACAAGGAAAGGAGACTTCCAAGTAGGTGACTCTAAGTAGAAAAGGCAACTTATGTTGACTAAAACTTTCCCCTATAATAATAGAAGTAACATTTCTTTCCTTAAAAACATTGCCTGGACTTCATTTGCTTGTTCATAACTAGTGGATGCTGTCAAAACAGCATCTATTAAGATCTTACTGTATTTAATGGGCTATCCTAGGTGATAAACATGATTCATAACTCAAGTCCCAAAGGGTTCCTATGGAAGTTAGGAGAGAAAGATAATCATTACCAAATGGAGTTGTCTAGGAAGGTCTTGTAAAGGAGATGGGACCTGAGCCAGGAACTGGAGCAAGAGGTGGATTAAGCCACATGTAGGTGAGAACTATCATCAAAAGCCTGCTCTCTGGAATATGCTTAGTGTGTTTGGGGATTGTAAAAGACTAGTTGGAAGGAAATAGCCCTTGAAAATAATGTTGAAATGTTTGGATTTTCTCCTGAATTCTGAATGGACTCCTAGGAATTTCTGAGTGGACCAGTGACATATTAAATTTTGTTTCCAACAGGGAGTGGGATGACTAAGAGAGGAGGGAGCCAGGGCTGGAAAATGAGTCCATTTGTTTCCATGATAGGCTTATGCTGTGGGCAGACCCTCTTTCGGGTAGAACTGATACTGTACATGGGTATTCACAATGGAGAAAACCAGGAAAGAATCCACATGGTAGGGCTGCTAGGTCATCATTAATTTGATCCATGTGACAATTGACAGGGACAATTGACAGAGATGGAACCTATTGTTTTCAGTGTTATGGAAAGACTGGTTTGTGTAACATTTTCTTTAGTCCAATATTAACAGTATTACAGCTAGGTTTGTTTATGGGGCTTTTGAGTAATTTTTGTTTTTCCAAGTCTATCAAGGACGTAATGAATTATGTTGAATAACAGTTGAGTTTGTAAATGTGCACTGTAATAATTTTAGTTATCGCCTAAATGTATTGCCTTTAAATCATTTTCACATACATCATTTGATTGCACAATTATGTTTTAGCAGTCGAGAGAAATGAGCTTCAGAGAACCAAAGTGACTTGTCCAAGGTAACTTGGCTAATGAGTAAGCAAGCCTAGGCTCATACCTCGAAACACTTTCAAGTCATTTACCTCTGCGTGAAATTTCGAAGCCATACTGAATACACACGATGGATTTCTATTAAGCAGAAAGTTTAGTCATTCAAGAACAAGCAACCTCAGTATATTACAGGGATGAACTCTGTTAAAATGCGGCGAGTGTTCCATAAATACTCACTGATATCACCCACCATTTATTCTGCTTCCAAAGGGAAGCAACTTCTAATGTTCCTCTAATATTTTTAAATGACATATTTTAAAATTAAATATTGACAGTAATGTCCGTGTTTCCTTTTCCTTCGCTGGGCCTTGGGCTCAATACGTCTTGGTTATGAAGTATGCATTTGTCAGTTTGTTCTCATGGAATTTGCAGACAGCATCTAAGTGTACAGTGGCAAAATGATTCTGATTGGTCGGGAGAGGGTGGGCGTGGACCAAGGGTGGCTTGAAATGGACTGTTTGTAAACCCATTCCCCAATTCCATTGGCAGAACCTGTAAAAACACAGGCCTTCCCAAAAGACACCTCTGACATTAACAACTCATAGAGGTCTTTTGACTTGAGTGATGTCAATTCTACACTTATTATTTAGGTCTTGGTACTTAAAAAATCATTTTGCCTTCAACACTTGTTTCTGGTTAGAAAATTAAAAGGCAAGGAGTTAAACACTGTGCACTTGGGTAGTAAAACAAATGTTCACTTTTTGCAGTGACCCTGGAAACAGACGGGAGATTCTTATAAATCACATAGGACAATAAATAACTTCCCCCATGGAGGGAAAGAGACAGCTTGAGAAAAGAGACTTTGGAAAAAGGCTTTCTCTGGACAGCAGTCTTGTGGTAAGTACTAAATATTCATTTAGTACCACTCTGTGTTTTGGCTTGAAATGCATTATTCTTTGACTGTTATTTCCTGAACCCTATATTTTTAAAACTTCTATTCCTGTTACCCTATTAGAAACACTGGCCTGAGGATTCTGTTTCTTTCTTTCTTTCTTTTTTTTTTTTTTACAAATTCAAAAGCCAGACTGTTATTGGAATGTTTGTATAGTGCTTAATATCTAAATGTCATAATCTGTCAACTTATATATAATTACATTAATTCCAGCTGAAATGGACTCTAACCTATATAAAAATACTACTGTGTCATTCATGCCAAATGGCAACACTATATGTGTTTGCTCCTCCACCCATATATCTTACCTATGGGGTTAAGATAAATAAGAAATCAATAAAGCTACAAGTATCAAAGAGCCATAAAATTACAACATCTTCTTAGTTGTCTATTGTTTCAGTTGTCCATGAATTTTCCTCCTAATAGTTTAATACCTGGGAATATCATCCTTAACTTGATTAGGATTACTTTTAGGTTTGGGAGACTGTTTAGGCTAAAGAAACAATCTAAGATACTGAATGTATAGGTGTGGCCACCTTTCCACAGGCTTTGTCTAACATGTATAGGTTACCTCTTCTCTTCCATAATGCCTAAGAATAGAGCAGGAAATCAATCAAATGTTCACCTACTGAAATAGAAACTTGGCTCTATCTTTTTATGTTTTATAAGGATGTACTGTATTCATTTGTGAACTTCCAATACAAAGCCTAGGGTCTGGTATGGAATAGACAGATATATATCCAATGAAATATTTATTAAACTATCAGTCTCACCTTTCACATTTTTCATCTGTATTTCTAGTTTTGTCATGTACACATTTCTTATTTACCCCCAAATAATTGATGATTCCCTTCATAAACTGTTCATTGGTGTAAATACTTGGAAATGGAGAAAAAACATGCATTAAGCTTTTTGTGTCAAATCAGTCTCCTGGGATTATATCAACCAGCAGACCAGCTCAGGACTTTGTAATCTATCTATCTATCTATCTATCTATCTATCTATCTATCTATCTATCTATCTATCTATCTAAACATATATAAATATGATACTGGAGATTGACTCTAGTGCCTGAAACAAACAGTACAAGTTCTCTCCCATTTGAAGCATGCTCTCACCCTTTCATTTTGTTTTTGAGACAGAATCTTCTACCCATGTTTGCCTGGGCTAACCTGGAACTTACAATCCTCCTGTCTTGGCCTCCTTTGTAGATAGGATTACAGATGTACGCCACAACCCCTGGCTAACTTTTGTAGTATTTTAACTTATCTTCTCTGTAGGTGTAACTGCACCTCCTTGGACTTACTATCTATAGAAAGTAGTACAAGTAAGGTATGGGAGGTTTATATGTTCATTCCCTTTTCAACTTATTGGAGAACTTGAGATAAAGGGATAATTTGTGAGCTTCTCATTTGCATAAATAAACTTCTTCATACATATTAACATGCCAGTATGGTCTGTCTTTGGCATAGGCAGGGGCAGAGACAGCCATATGGTATGACGCGAGCAGCTGAGTGAAAGATTCTTTTCACTCAGAAATACCATCTTTGTTAGTTGGTCCTCAAAACCACAGTTTTCTGCCTTTAGGTTTCAACTCATATGCAAATTGCATATAAAGACACACATACTAACCTATTGTTTTTCAATAATTTATAGTAGAACCCATTAATAAAATGGTTTGGATCATTCCCAAATATCAATCAGATCAACAGAATTTTGTTAAGGAGTATGCAGGACAGATTGTTGCTGGAAAGACAAGGATGAGTCGAGAAGGCAGAAGAGAGAGAAAAAGAGTACCATGAAAGTGCTGGGTACTTACAAACCCAAAGAAAGAGAAAACTGTCTCATTGAAACATTCACCCACATTTCATTTTTGCCAGAGAGAGCTTGAATATGGGCCTATTCAAATCCTGCCACATTACTAATGCCAGCTGAGAAATCTAAACCCAGCTTGTTTTCCTATTGACAAACAGGGCTCTGTTCTGCTCTTTACTCTGGATTGACTCTGTCTCTTGACTTTGGGATATAGAAAAATTCTGGGAAAATAAGAACTTGATTTTTGGCATGACTTGAGAAACCGAGTCTTGCCAAATCTTCTATCATGCTTAGGAGAGATTTCGCCCCAATGAGATTCCTTCCTTGTCTCTTGGAGGCAGAATGTCACCTTTGCCTGCCAGGTTGGGCACATCCTGAAAAAGCATGCCCTTTCCCATGACTATGTGTAGGAGATGCTTCCCTGCTGCTGAACATTATACTTCTTTAGCCAACTGACTACAATTTCAATATTATGCTCTGTCTTCTATATAAGATATATTACTGTATAATGACAATAATAATAATAATAATAATAATTACTGGCTACACCTTGAGAAAGTTCTCAGGAAGTAGAATGCATTGAAACCAAATTGAAGGAACTCTTTTGTGACTGTCAGGAAAATACTTAGCCTGATGTGAGATTAAAGAAGACTAGATTGGAAAGCACTTGAATACAAGACATTGTTATCCATTCTGACTCCATACTGAGACCAGATAGATAGTTAGGAAAGAAACAGATAGAGATTACTCTATATAAGACTGATTAAAAAGATGGGAAAAATAGCCAAAAAAACCCTGACATCATGATACATGTTCTCATTTTCAAATCATACTTTACATATTCTAACACTATTTTATTATTTTACTTCAGTTATTTTGCAGTACCAGAGATTATATATTCTAGGCAAGTTTCTACCACTTACGACCCACTCCCATCCCTCCTGTCTTTTTTTCTTTGAGATAGAGGTTCACTATCTTCCTAGGCTGATCTCAGACTCAGCTGGTATTTTATGCATGTTCCATCACACACACTCTTATTACTTGAATCATAGCCTAATAAAGTAGGAGTGGATTATCTGGTTCTTCACCCTTTAGACAGAATAGTAATGGGCCAGAAAGACTATATGACTTTCCTAAATGTCTTAGAAGGATTACATAACAGAATAGTATGTATGTATATATATATATATATATATATATATATACATATATATGTATACACACACACATTCACCAATCACATCAGTTCTTTATCTTTTTAAAACTATTATCTCAAGAAAAGAAGATGTGCTTTTGGGAAACCTAGGAGAACTAGAAACCTATTAAAGGCTTAAGTTATGAAATTCCATCACAATAATCATTATGACCCCTATTTTTGAGAATTAGGAGGCCCAGAGGTAATTTCCACTTTTAGATTTTGCAGGAGAAAATTCCTCATAATGTGTTCTAAGAATAAGGTTCTATTAACTTCATTACATTTTTTATTTTACATAATCAAATCATGAAGTGTTGAGTTAGGAATTATAGCTCCCTTGCAACAGCGTTTAAAATGTTAGGCTGAAGGAATAATAGAATAAAGAAACCTACAGGCTGAATATGGAAAAAAAACCACTCCAATTGAAGGAACTGAATTTGTAGTTCTTAGTCAAAATTTTGGCTTCAGCACTTGGCAAGGGGGACGTTTGAGTGGTATGTGTTGGGAAGAGGAGAAGACAGAATGTGCTCACGTGTGTAAATCTGAAATACATTCTTTGATGGGTAAATTTTACTTTAGAAATGACTCATTTTAAGGAAACAGTGATGGGGTGACAGGTAAGTGAAACTGAAATGAAAAACAGGTTCCAATGCGGGGGCTAACCTCCAGAGAAAAAAAGGCAAGTGGTGACACATTTGCCTCCCCCAGCAGGACTGTATCAAGTAGCTGTATATTCACGGCAAGTGCCATGGTCTCTCTGATGACAAGAAAAAAATCACATTGGAAATCGAGGCCTTTTCTTGACCGAAAGCTTCTCAGCCCACCCCAGGATGCTTTTTGATCAAAAAAGTCAGTGTTCACATGGTGCTTTTTCATTTGTAAGACTTCCTCCCAGGCTATATATACAGTTCTTTGACACTTGTGGCTGCGGTAGGTTTTAGCATATGAGAAGGCTGAGGAGTGAATTGTCTTTTGTACCAACCCATATTTCAACTGCAAACATTCTCCTTTAATTTAAGGAAGAAACACATATTTTTTTTCTTTTAGGAACAGATGAGAGTAACAGTTTCTCTGATGAATTCCCTCTTGTACACTTTTTGCTTCTTCCTTCATCAAAGGGACACAAAACACTGACTACAATAGATCCTCAGCTTTGACAGCTGAGTTTTGGTAGACTTGGAGGTACAGAAAAGGGCCTACAATAGTTCTTCAGTTCATCCTTCAGTCTCTTGACCTTTTGTATTCAAATTACAGTAATAAGACCCTTCTACTGCATGCATAATAAAGTCACTGGGTAGCACCTTTGAAAACCTGCTATAGGAGGGTGCTAGAGATTTTCTGTTCCACTTCCAGATACATGCATTGTTCATCCCTCTGTACCTGACTGTGTGCTTCGGCAGCTGCTTCCCATCGACCTTGGTCAAAGTATCACTTGCCCTAGCATCTGCCCGGGCATGGCCAATGAGAAGAGGAAATCACAGGTGGAGATATTTTCCTGATTCTTCCTTTCCTCTTCATAGATTATAATAACTGGATTACTTGGTCTCAGGTTGCTGCTTTGATTGTGTAATCCTGTCCGAGAGCTCCTGTTACAACCATGGCTCTCTGGGTTCTTACCCCTTCTCGTTCTCTGTGTTCCTCTCTTCTTAATATGAATGAATCTTGGATATTTGTAGTACATCTCTTGTTGACTTTCCATAGACCTTCCTACACCTTAGAGAATAGTTTCTCTACCAAAGTCTTCTCAATCAGAAGATCTGTGTATGCTATCTCTTCCTGAGTTCCCTGACAGATACGAAATACCTAATACTTAGGAAAAATAAAATCACATTGGGGAGATAAGCAGTATGGCATGGACTGAGCTGAGATTGCTCTAGGGGGATGCACAGACAAGCATATCATTGTAGTTAGATCATGCTTTAAAGCAATGGGATA